AGAAGGCTACTAAGTGATTGATGGACAGATAGTGTATACAGTGTGGATACACTGGACAAACAGATGGTTCCCATCTGGGGCAGGTTGAAGCAAGACAGCAAGAGATTTTATCACACTGCTCAGAGTATGTGCAATTTAAAACTTATGAAGTGTTTATTTCTGGAATCTTCCAGAAGCCAAAACCATAGAAATTGAAACTACAGATAAACAAGAGGCTACTGTACTCCAGATGCCTTTCTTAATTCTACAAAAATAAAATAACAAACCAGTAATATCTTGAAGCCACCATTTGTCTACAAAATATGGTGACTGGACTACATAAGGTGAGAGACTCTACAATTTTATAAGAGAATTTATATATTTCTTCCCCATATTTTCATGTATATACTACAGGTCACTCATTCCTTCAGTATCATTATTATCATAATAGATATAACAATATCATATACTATAATATATAATAATATACTTGTAAATATTTTGAGGGGAAGAACAGTAATCCCAAAGTTAATCCTTTCTCTTCCAGAATTACCCTGAGAAAATTCTGAAAACATGAAATAAATACCTGCTAGGCTGTAAGCTCCTTGAGAAAATCTTGTCCTATTCATCTTTGTGTGTCTAGCTCCTAACTCCTGATTTTTGCTGAATGAATAAAGTGCTATTAGGAAGTTTAAAAAGCACTCACTTCCTATAATTTTTAATTACTGATGAGGTGCTCTTTTAGATTTTCCAAAGGTATGAGAAAGCCAGGACAATGGTTGCATACTTCCTCTATAATTTCATGTTTTTAAAAAGTGATTCTACAGGTGACATGGGTAACTGCTTCAGCTGAACCAATACCCCTGACAGGAGGTCATCAAACTCATGACAACAGTGAGCTAAAATATAGGACACAGCTGTGGCCAGCTACAAAATTTGAATGATTTTCCAAAGAAGAACCAGCTAGAATTTAGGAACTCAAAAACTGCTGACTTTCTAAATTGTTTAGAAAGTCATTTTTGACCATTCCATTTTATTCCTAGGATGAAAAGACCCAGGAAAAGAATTAACTTAAAACCTACATGATTATTCTATTAATGAAATTTAATAGAGTCAAGATAGGAATAAAAAAATATCTGTCATTCTGTTTTCTAACTCACTTTCTCCTATGAGGAAACATTGTCCCATAAAACTTGACAATAACAGCTAAGCACAGGCTGCAAAGGAATGCTTATCTAACTGTTGACTTAGGGCTTTATCTACATGGAAGGAAAATTATGACACAAGCCTAGCCAAAAAACTCACCCTGTTTGAGGGAAGTAGACAGCTTGGAAATTTAATCAAACCAGTAAAAAATTGTATCTGATGTTTACCATTTTTAAACTGACAAATTATATTTTTATTAGAATAATAGTTGCAACAAGTGACACTCATAAGGCACTGGGAAATTAACTAAATGTGTTTGCACATATGATACCACATTTACTTACCACAGTAAAGCTACTGGTATTTTTAATACTCAAGCAATGGACAGATAAGGACTGAGACTCTAAAGGCCTTCATAACATTTTAAGATCAAACAATGAAGACTTGCTTTGCTTTAAAAGTATGCCTCATGCCAGGTGCAGTGGCACCTGCCCATAATCCCAGCAGCTTGGGAGGCTGAGGCAGAAGGATCACAAGTTCAAAGCCTCAGCAATTTAGCAAGGCCTTAAGCAACTCAGTGAGACCCTGAATCTAAATAAAATACAAAAAAGGGCTGGGTTTGTGGCTGAATGGTTAAGTGTTCCTGGGTTTAGTCCCCAGTACCAAAAAAAAAAAAAAAGTACTCCTCATTACTGGGAATATGTTATTAGAAATAAAAGACACCAGCCCTAGTGCAATGAGTAGCTCTCATAATATTGTTTATGGTGGTAGAGCACAATACAAATTATAGATTCCACTATCCTCTCCTGAGCTCTTCCTCTTTGTTGTTCTAATATTCACCAATCCCATCAACTACCAGAACACCTGCCATTATTTTCATTTTACATAGAGAAAGGCTTAGAAATATTTCATAACCTAAGCATGATCCATCCTACTGACAACCAGACTAGTTCACTAAGATGATCTGCTTCTTGAAATCAGAAATCAAGGGAACACAGTTTTGGCTGGTGATCAATATAATGGGAAATAATATCACTGATTGACCTTAAATAATTAAGATGGAATAACTGATTGTCTTGAAGCTCCTCTTCCACCAGTGAATAATGTCTTTCTCCACAAAAGAAGGGAATGACACCAATCGAAAACATTTAACTCCTTTGTGATATGTTTTATTTCTTGGGGAAGGGTGGATGTTTATTTCATTTGTTTTGCTCTGCTCTCTTTAAAACATGTTCAAGGTGGGAAAGCAACTCTTTTGAAAAGGCCAACTAGAAATAATTCAATTCTCAGCAAGATTAAGCAATCAGATCCATCCTATATATAACACAGGAAAAAAAATGTCTTAGGGAAGTGCAAACTTTTCTAAAAACAGTCTTTTTTTAAATGGAAAATATAATCCAATCAAGAAGCAATATTTTTTTTCGACTTGGATTCATGTCATTGCATTAGTAGGTAGTGCTAATAGTTTCCAAATGCCAATGTGTATTCATGAACATTTAGCAAACTCCTCATGACGTAATACATTCCTTCTTGGATATATCTTTTGTCAGATCCATCTGTCTTTGGAGATATGCATAATTTTTCAGAAGTTTATCTGAAAAAGAACTTCCAAAGTCAGAGAAAAATAATTTTCAAAATAGAAATAGAGAAAAGAAAGATTAATTATTGCTGTTTTAGAGATATTTTTCTTTATCCACAGCATCTTGCCCACAGCCTACTCTCACTGGACACCCAGGGTTTCTGGGCTCCTCTTCACAAGAAAAAAATGTGACTCCATCACCTCCAGGAAAACTGAAGAGCTGAAGGACCTAGAGGAAGCACCAATGCAAGAAGCAAAGGCCCCTAGTGTCGACCCACCAGACTCTCCCGGATCTTTCACCCCAGGTTTCAAACACACTCTGAATTGTACAGGCAGCTGGTTCATGTTTGAAAATTAAGCATAAGTATTTGATGCATATCAGCAACAGCCCAAGCAAGGTAACTTAAAGAATGAAGGCAGAAAAAGGCAAGAGGGAGTGTAAGAACTACCTTAAGAGAGCTGCACCTACCCTAGGAAAAGAAAGGGAAGCCAGGAAGCCTGTTCCATTAAGATACCTTCTATCCCACCACTTCTTACGCTTAGACGGCCCCACCTGCCAGGACAGATGAGATCACACTCCTTTTATAAATGGGGTACTTTCTTCCACTAATACAGTCAGTTGGGAATAGATAACTGGGTAACCAAGAATGTGGCATAGAAACTCAATAATGAACTTCTATTCTGTCTCAATAGAGGAACTCAGTATGCCATTTCTTCATTAAGTACATACCTCTCTAAATGGATATATCAGACTTACATTTCTTTAAGACTATCTATTTTACATATACTTGGTTGATACAGAAAAGGACTCTATGTCAATTACTTCTTTCTTTTTATGAACTTGGTCCCCTGGTGTGAGCTAAAAGGGGAAATATTTCAGAAAATGAAAATTCTCTTAACAATAAAATTCTCATTCCCAGTGTGATCTAAAAACAAAATTTTGCGAAAACACAACTAATATTTCTCTCCTGCCAGCTAAATTATGTCAGTTGTTTAAATAGGTGCAACCAAAAATAAGTCTATAAATGAGTCTTTCAATGTGCTTTTAAAAGTAATTGGCAAGGAATTACTATAAATATTAGAAGTTTATATTTTACACAGCAGTATTTTCTTCTTAACAATTAATCACTCCTTCCCGGGGCATGTAATTAATTTATGCTTGAAATCCGTATATAACACAAATATATAACATAGATTTGAATATATAAGTCTAACAAGGAAAATTAAATTAAAAAGCAACCTGGAAAACAACTCAAAAATATTTTGTAAATGGCCTAGTTTGGTGCTGTATTAAGAAAAGTATGAAAATTATTCATGAGGATGAAAACTTATTTCTAATCACTAACTTCATAGGCAAAAGCCCTATTTTATTATAGGCTAGGAGAAAATCAATAATAAGGTAAAGGTAAAATATGAACTGCTTACATTTACCAGTTTTTACTCAGGCTGGCAATATGAGCTCTCAAAGATAATAAAACACTGATGCTTTGTAGTTTCTCATTTCAAGTTGCTCCAGCTTTATCCAAAAACTGTTAGCAAGAGAGCTTCCCCCCAACAATTACACAAACCTAACAACGACTGTCTGGGACCATTTGATCTGCTCGACCACAAATCCTAGCACACATACTTGCTTCTGTTTCGGCTGTATCCTTGTGTGTTTAATATACTTCTCAGGAGGCTTTGAAAAACAAGCTCGTGGTTTCCCATTCAGCTCTACCACATAAACTGAACCAGCAAAGAACGTTTTTGTACATATAAAAATTTCTAGTTATTCATGGTGTATGTCTTTAATTAGCTTCAGATTTCTGAGAAGAAAACTACTGCTGCTGTCATTTCACATTTCTCCTTCTGTGTCTAACTGCTATGTACCTGTGTCCCGAAAAGGATTTATTATCGTCTCTCAGTTTTGGACCATGGGGGTGGGAACCCTTGAAACTTGCCTGACTCCAGCGCCCTCGGTGCTCACACACCGGCATCCTGTTTAACCTGCTCGTGTGTGTTGGAGCTTTACCACGGTACAGACCCCATGCAAACAAACTGGGCTAACAAACGCATCAGCCAGCCTCCTTCAAAAATGCAGCCTGACTATGATTCATGGCCAAAAGCTATAATAACCCTGCCATGTCCTGGAAGCTTTAAGATTCATGGCGTTGAACTTGACACATATACTACAGCACCTTAAAAACGAATCATCTGCTAGTTCAGTATTTTCTTCTCACAATCACTCCCTCCCGGGGCATGTAATTAATTTACTGCGCTTAAAAAAAAAAAAAAAAAAAAAGTCAGGATTACTCACACAGTCTTGAAGATGCAATGTCAGCTATCTAGGACAGAAACATCCAAGGCCGTGCTAGAACTCAATTACAACTACATATGCATTACAGCAGGAACTGGCAGGCCTCTGGGCTACAGCAACTATAGGGCTTGTGCTTCCCGACTGCCGGGCTATAATCTATGAAACTGAGCCCAGATCCAGCCAATCAGTTCACTCCTCATAACAAGTCTAACTGGCTCTGGAAAGCTGAAAGGGCTGCACTGGAGCAACGTAGATGAGATATTCCACACAATGATCTGCTTATCTAGAATCACTTTGCCTGGAAAGACCAGAGAAAAATCACTTTGTCTAAGGAAAGGACAGGTGATCTGGCAAAACCACCACGGGACCTGGAGCAAGATCCTCTGGCTTGGCAGTTCAGCGCTGCCGGCATTAAAGGACCTGAGGCTCCCCAGAAACCAGAGGGCAACCACCACAGCAGCAAAACACCAAGGTAACTTTCATCTCCCTTTTTATTTTTAGTAGGAGTAATGCTCAGTGAAAGGGATCCACATTAAGGAGCTTAGGCAACTCACTAGGCTTTGTTTTTATTTCATTTTTCTCTATCCTAAGCTTTTGTAGAATGAATTCTTATTAAGTATGAGTAGAGAGAGGCTTAATGTTCCTGAAATAAACTTGAAACTAAAATGATCATTTGTAGAGGCCAATAGAGAACTGTCCAGAAGTGTTTTAGAGCTACCTTTCCAGATGGGCCGCCTTTTCATTCATTCACAGAAACAAGGGTAAATGGGGCTGGCAGGGAGGAGGGAGAAAGGGGTTCAGGAGCACAATTGCCTGCTTTCCCTATCTGGGAGGAAATAACTACACCTAGAGAGAATACTGGGAAGTTACTGCCTTGCTCCTCTGACTCTTGGCACTGAGCACAGAAGAATGTTCCACAGTGGGAAGGTTGGGGTAGAATACCTTCAGAATCACAAGAGAGAGTGACAGTGCCCCCATGGTCCAGGTTGTACTTACTAGCTCTTGTTTTACTTTTTCCTTTTTTTGTTGTTCTTTGTTTTATTTTACGTATTTTCTTTACAATACCTTGCTTATTTTCCATACATTTTTTTCAATATTTTTTAGTTGCAGATGGACAAAATACCTTTATTTTATTTATTTATTTATGTGGTGCTGAGGATGGAACCCAGTGCTCTGCACATGCCAGGCAAGCACTTTACCACTAAGCCACACCCCAGCCCTTATTTCCCATTACATTTTAACTGTTAGTTATGCCAGTTATTTGTTATAACATACTTCTAAATTAGTAGTTATTAAAGAAGCAGTGGGAAACATTTTTAAATCAAAATTACTATAGAAGTAACTGATATAGGAAAGCATAAACAATAACCCCAGAACAGGATTGACATACACATAACCCCAACCCCACACAACTTGGATACTTAACATTCTTTACCTGCTGACAGTTCCTTCCAAGTCCTTAGCAAATTGTTTTTTTTTAACAAATTTTGTAGCAAGTATAATACTAGCAACAACAACAAAAAATTTTTTTGCAGTAAACTTTTAAATAACTAAATCAGTCATTATGCTTTCAAAGTGACAACAGAAGTTACACAATATTCAATTTGTGTTGTTGGATTTATAAGTTCTGAAAGGTAAAAGCTAAAAAGAAAAACTTGCTTTGTTTAGTGGTAAAATATAAACAGCAGTAACGGAAGAGACATTTATGCACTTTTTGTTTGCTGTAGATAATTGACTAAATTCAACTGGAGATTTGACTCCAGGAAGAAAAAATAACAATATATAGAGAATAGAAAAATTATAATCCATTGAAAGTTTCCTCCCAGGGTTTATTCTTTTAATTGTCCAATTTAGCCAGGGAAGACTATTTCTGCTCTGTTTAAATAGTTTTTTATTTAATTTAACCTGTATTTATTTGACAGTGCTGCTGACTATGGTGACCACATGAAAACAGAAACTTCTGAGAAAGTCAGGCTATTAGCACTGTTGTCCCTTTTACTCAAAGATAATATATATTATTTAGTCTAAAATGAAAAATAAGTCCTTAAGATAATACTGGCATTGAATTCTCGATATCAAACTCCCTGCTTTTCACTCCCTTAATAAAATTCCATTAAAATCCCCTGCACTCTCATATTCAAATCTCTATTTTCAACCAACTAAGCCAAGAATATTCTAAACTGAGTTATGTAAGTCATTACCCAAAAATTTCCCATAGAAAAAACCCACCACCTACAAATTTAAAGAAAATTATCTTGCTGCCTAAGACAATAGCCAACAATCATAGGGCAAGTTTGGAATTGAGTTTTCACAACTTTTGAACATTCTCTGTGTCGACATGTAACTGAGTTTTCAACTGACCCCTGGCTTGATCCTTGGCCCTTAAAAACACCAAAAGTTTTGTTTAACTCAACATTAAACTGTTCATTTGTTACTAATGTTCACCCCAAACCACATTCATAAGAATTTTCTAAAAGAACAGCACTGCCTTCCCTCTTAGAATCATAATGATCACAAAAACCTGAGACATGTGCCTGTAACTGGGCATTTTCCTGGAGATTTATTTTCTATACCCTATTGAAACACAATTCTATGACCAAAGCAAGAACTAATGTGTGTGTGTATCTGTATCTATATCTATCTATATATATGTATAGATAGATGGATAGATAGATAGATATGATAGAGATATTTATATAGATAGATATAGATATGATCTTAGATACTATAATCTTCTTTTGCCTAAAATTGCTAATGCAACATGTCAGAGTCTGCTATAGCAGGCATCCTTTTCAATTCATTAGGACTTATATTAGCAGGTTCTGGCTAGAGAAACTCTTTCCTGTCATCACCATCAGTTAATATTTGTTAGCTATTGCATCAGATACTGGCTAAGAAGCTCATGGATCCAAGAGTCACCCAAACAGCTGAGTTCAGTTCTTGGTCCTATTTCCTTGATCTTAACCCCAGAGACAATGATTAAGATGATCCCCAACAGAAAAGTAACTCAGGAATGCAAACCCTTTTCTGAAGGAAGAACTGTCAGCAAATCTCAAGTATCAGAGCAGCTATGGTTGACTGAGAAGTTTCTCCAGACTTGGGCCAAGAATGATTTCTGGGCCCATAAGCTAATTTGCCTAGCCCTTAGTTTATGGAGCCAAAGTCACTCATGAGAAAATTATAGGAAACATTCAGACCCACCATGTCAGCACATCAAGCCAATTAAGACTAGCAGGGCATTAACTCCATCCCAGGTGACATGGATAAATAGCCCCAATATTTTCACTATGCTAAGACCTGCTAAAGAAACCCCAGTCTGTGGGATGTTCCCTGGTAGGGAGCAGCTGACAGTTCTAACTCTAACACTGGGAGCCAGCATCTCAGGATGTTAACTGAAAGAAAAATACTTGCTTGGAAAATGTCAATGAGAAGACTTGCCTCATCTTAACAAAAATATTTTAATTTAAATTAAAAAGCATGGGTAGTAGAGATGTAAGTCTGAGGTCACTTTAGGTACTAAGCTTATATTCTTGGTTCAGAAAACAAATCACTTTATCTGGGCACACAGACCTGAAAATGACTTTGCCTTTTGCACATAGGGGGAATTCTTAGTGGTTGGTTTGTTTATTCATTCATTCATTTGTTTGTTTGTTTTGTGGTACTGGGGATCAAACCTAGGGGCCTATGCATGCTAGGCAAGCACTCTACCACTAAGCCATAACACAGACCTGTGTAGTATTAATTCAGTCTCTCCTAAGAATATGAACATACAGAACCATACTAATAATGCATGTGACAAGACTCCAAAATATATTACACTTACGTGTAACACAAACTATCAATTTTTAAATTCACATAGTCAAAACTCTTCTTGTAAGTAATGAGACCTTAACACAGGATCAGTTTTCTGTGGTCTTGTTCTGTGTCTAAGTTTCTCTAAAGTATTATGACATGGTATACACAAAAATTGGTAATTATGTAATTAGTAAGAGAAAACTTTGGGAGGTACATTACTAATGTCATGCTAAAATTATATCTTCGCTTCTAAAAGCAAAGATATAAAGCAGTAGAACATAGAGGTTGAGGGCATAAAATTTGAAACCAGACTGCCTGGGTTCAAATCCCAGCTCTGACCTTTCCTGCAGGATCTTGGGCAAACTACTTAATAGCACTTTGCCTCAGTCTCCTCAAATGTAAAATGGTGCCATGCTATCTCCTAGGACTGGTGTGAAGATTATGAGCAAATGCATGCCTACAACTGAGCCCATTACATGGTGAGTGTTCAATAAAATTATCATTTTGTTTATTAATTTTATTACAATAAATGTACACAATATTCAAAACAAAGGTAAATTATTTAAACAGGTAGATGTGGTGAAACATATCTATTCTCATCACATGTTTCTTGAGGCCTCCAAGAGAATAACACAATAAGGTGGATAGGTCACTGTTTGTTAATTGTCAGTTTTCTGCCTGGTTATAACTTGACACTTTTCACCCTGCCCTTCATTTAGTACTTCACACAAGGACACATACCTAGGACGTGACATAGAGGGGTAATTGCAGTAGATATGATACATATGATAGTTGGCACAAAGTTCAGGCTAGTTAAAGATTCCTGCATGAAAGGAAAAAAAGTAATGGAAGTCATTAATCTTCATCCCTGGTATGCTAACCGAAAGAGATTCCAATGGAGAGGGAAAGAGAGAGAGAGAGAAAGAGAGAGAGGGAGAGTTACCTATCATGAACAGCTGTGCTGATTATCCACAATACATGAACCGTGTCTGGAATTCATGCTGAATTCCCAGCTTAAAAATGGAAGAACATTGAAGCTAATTATCTCGTCTCCTCCCAGCAGTGAGGGACTTTTCAGAGAGGGAGAATATTAACTGAGAGTTAGACAGACTCACTGAGAAGGGAAAAGGAAAATACATAATGTGCTTGGTTAAGGAATGTGTACACTGGCGAAGGAGAATAGACTTCTACACTCGTTCATTCACTCACTCATGAGGAAGCCCCACCCTCATCCTCAGCTTTGACACAAATACCCACCCTTAAGCACACCCTTCCAGGGCACCCACTATCTAGACCAAGAACAATGATGTCCATCACTGTGAGCCCTTCC